TGGCACATGCATCCTTGTGATGAGTATTCTCCATATTTCCAGGTAAAAGAATTTGAGAAATTTGCATGTACTCTAAATTTAATGTGTATAAATTAACAGATTTGGACTTTGCTCTCCTGATTTCTATTTCAGGATATTCTATCCTCAATCAGAGCTCAATTACTGTGGTTCTTTTTGGGTAAGTAAATGAAACCTGATCCATTGATTCTTTCTCTTACAAATTGGTGACTTGATCTATGAATTAGCAAAATGGGCCAAACAATTTACAGGAACTTTATTGCATAAATTTTATAAATCTTGCGGTCTTCTATGTGTAGTAATACGTTTTACTACATACTAAATAAATCTGTGCTATGGGAATATTATTCCCTATTTGTTGTTAATTGCTATCAAATCGGTTCTGACTCAGTGACCCTGTAGGGTTTATGAGATTGTCAATCTTTGTGGGAGCAGAAAGTCTCATCTTTTTCCAGCTGAGCAGTTGATGGGCTTGAACTGCCAACCTTGTTTTTAGCCATCCTGTGTTCATCTTAGATACCCAAAATGTTCCCTTATTCCTGAGATGTGGGGTGAAATTTTTCATGTGGATTTATCGTGGAATGACCACTAACAGACAACTTTCAAGGATATTTGTAATTCCATACCTTGACAATGAGAGCATGGAGTTGTGTTTGACTTTCAATTGGTAAACAAATGTTGGCAATTAGTAAATTTGGACATGCATCAATTTGATACCTCAAATAACTATGCTCCATGCACCTACAGTACAGAAATTCTAATTGTGTAAGGTGTAAGGTAGAAGAAGAATTACACTTGATGATTCAATAAAAAATTGACAAAATGATTCTTCACGCAGTAATACTCTATATCATTTAGTATCTGTGTGAGTTTAGGTAGGTTGTGTTTTTCTAAAAATGTATCCATCTGTTCTATGTTTTCAAATTTCTTGGAGTATAACTCTTCATAGTATTCTGTTATTATCCTTTTGATTTCCTTTGGTTCCATTGTGACATGCCCATATGGTTTCTAATGTGTGTTATTTGTGTCTTCTCCCTCTTTTCTTTTGTTAGGTTTGTCAATGGTTTGACAAGTTTGTTAATCCTTTCAAATAACCAGCTTCTTGTCCTGTTGATTCTTTCTATAGTTTTTCTGTTTTCTATCTCATTTATTTCTGCTCTAATCTTTATTATTTCTTTTCTTTTTGTGGCTGTAGTTTTCCTCTGTTGGTCTGTTTCTAATTATTGTAAATGCTGTGTAAATGTGTTCATTTTGATTCTCTCTTCTGTTTGGATGTGTGCATTTATTGCAATGTCCCATTATTGCCATGTCCCAAAGATTTTGGTATGTTGTGTTTTTGTTCTCATTTGTTTCTAAAAACTTTGTGAATTCACTTTTAATTTCTTCTACTATCCAGTTGTTTTTCAGCAGGGTGTTATTCACTTTCCATGTATTTGACTTTATTTCCTTGGTCTTCCTACTGTTGATTTCTAATTTGATAGCATTGTGGTCTGATAAGATGCTTTGTAGTATTTTGATAATTGTAAATTTATGGAGATTTGTTTTGTGGCCTAAGACATGGTCTATTCTGGGGAAGGTGGTTACAAGTGCACTGGAAAAGAATGTGTATTGCACTGTTGTTGGGTTGAATGCTGTATACACATCTATGAGATCTAGTTGGCTGATTGTATTGTTTAATATATGTCTCCCCATTGCCTTCTTGTCTGCATGGTTTGTTCTGAATAGTCAAACAATATTATTAATATCACACACAACTCAAAAGCATCAATTCTTCTACGGTCTTCCTTATTCACTGTCCAGCTTTTGCATGTATATAAGGTTACTGAAAATATCATGGCCTGGGTCAGGTACACCTTAGTCCTTAAGCTGACATCTTTGCTCTTCAACACTTTAAAAAGGTCTTGCACAGCAGATTTGCCTAATGCAATATGTCGTCTGATTTCTTGACTGCTGCTTCCATGAGTGTTGATAGTTGATTCAATAAGAATGAAGTCTTTGACAACTCAGTCTTTTCTCTGATAATAAGAATGTTGTTTATTGGTCCAGTGGTGAGGATTTTTGTTTTCTTGACATTGATATGCAATCCATACCAAAGGCTGTGCTCTTTGATCTTCATCAGTAAATATTTTAAGTCTTCTTCACTTTCAGCAAGCAGGGTTGTATCATCTGCATATCACAGGTTGTTAATGAGTCTTCCTCCAATTCTGATACCACATTTTTCTTTATATAATCCAGTTTCTTGGATTATTTGCTAGGCATACAGTTTGAATAAATATGGTGAAAGAATACAACCCTGTCTCAAACCTTTCTTAATTTTAAAGCATTCAGTGTTCCCATGATCTGTTAGAACAACTGTCTCTTGGTCCAGGTACAGATTCCTCATGAGCACAATTAAGTGTACAGGAATACTCTTACTTCTCAATGTTGTAAATAGCTTGTCATGATCCCATACAATCGAAAGCCTTTGTGTAGTTGATAATGTACAGGTAAACATCTTTCTGGTATTCTCTGCTTTCAGCCAAGATCCATCAGACATCAACAATGATATCCCTTGTTCCACAGCAACAAAATGTGCAAAGATCTGGATTCAGAAAACCAAAAAGGAAGAACATGCTCAGCATTTCTCAAGCCAGGGGAACCGAAGAAAAAATTCAAGCCTTGACTTTTGCTATTGAAGCATTCTCTGGGCAAATGATTGAATGATGCAGAAAGCATCAAAAGAAGGTGGAAGGAATACACAGAGTCACTGTACCAAAAGGAAATGGTTGATGTTCAACTGTTCCAAGAAGTTGTATACAATCAAGAGTCAGTGATACTGAAGGAGGAAGTCCAAGGTGCATTAAAGGAATTGGCAAAGTATAAGCCCCAGGAATTGATGGAATACAAATTGAAATCTTTCAAGAGAGTGAGGTGGCACAGGAGGCACTCACTTGTCTATACCAAGAAATTTGGAAGACAACTATCTGGCTGACTGATTGGAAGAGATCCATATTTGTGCCCATTCCACATAGAGGTGACCCAACAGAATGTGGAAATCAACAGACAATCTCTTTGGTATCCCATGCTAGTAAAGTTTTACTTAAGGTAATACAGAAATGACTGCAAGCATACATTGACAGAGAACTTCATTTCTGTGATATATTGTAAATATCAGACTCTATGCCTGTGTGTGGCACTGTAGGATAAACACTAGATTGTAAACCACTAGGTCAGAAGTTGAGATTCATCAGCTCTTATTCAGAAACTGTAAGCAGGGTCACTATCAGTTGGAATTGACTCAATGGCACTCAACAACAACAACAACAACGTGCCTGTAATTATGGATCTATTTTTAAGTGAATTGTTAATGAGCTCTGGTTAGGGTAGTACTAATAGTTAAGGTGTTGTTAAGAGTAAGGATTAAGATGGGGCTTGAATTATTTTGTGCACTGTAGGATATGCACTGGGTTGTTAACCACAAGATTGGTGGTTCAAACCCATCAATCACTCCTCAGAAACCTTCTATGTGGTCATGATGAGTCGCTCCTCAGAAATTCTTTGTGTAGCTGCTCTGAGTCAGAACCAACTCATTGGTACTTAACATGAAAACAATAAGCAGTAAGGATTAAGGTAGAATTTAGGAATGCTGATGACCCAATCTTACTAGAGTGTGTGACTTAACTCACCACACTTAGTTTTAATTAAGGGTGTGGTCTGAATTTAATACAAAAGAATGGTTTGGAAAGTTCACTCTTGTGCTCTGGCTCATCACATCTGACCTTCAGTTCATGGAAATTATGGCCTATCACCTTATCTGATTCACTAGCTCCAGAAGCCTTGTGCATCAACAGGATGTCCTCTGGAATACTTTTTTTTTGGTTCCTTAGTTCCTGAGATGTCTTAGATGAGGAGAATCCTCCAGACAGATCTCTAAACTTCACAATAGCAACTTGCTGGTCTACTCAATTGTGTGAGCCATTTCCTTTGACATTTATAAGTTCTGTGAGATATTACAGCATCTGGAAGACAGGAAGGAAAGAATGGTGATTGATATCAAGGATTATGGAGTGGTATAACATGTTAAAAAAGTCTGATATTTGTGATATCTTTAGTCTCCAATCATAGGGAAGTGAAGAGAACTTACCATACTCTGATGAAGATCAAAGATTACAGCCTTCAGTATGGATTGAACCTCAATGCAAAGAAAGCAAAAATTCTTACCACTGGACCAATAAATAACTTCATTATAAATGGAGAAAAGTCTGAAGTTGTGAAAGACTTCATTTTGCTTGGATCTATGCTCAACACTTACAGAAGCAGCAGTCATGAAGTAAAATGGGATTGCATTAGGAAAATCTGCAAAAGACCTTTTTAATAAAGTGTTAGAGTACAAAGATACCAGTTTAAGGAATAAGCTTAACCTGATCCAATCCATGGTATTTTCAATCACCTCATATGCATATGAAAGTTGGACAATGAATAAAGAAGATCACTGCAACAGAATTGATTCATTTAAATTATGATGGTGTAGAAGAAAATTAAAAGTACTATGGACAGCTAGAAGAGCAAACAAATCTGTGTTTGATGAAGTAAAGCCAGAATACTCCTTAGAAGCCAGATGGTGAGACATTATCTCTTAGACTTTGGACATGTTATCAAGAGTGACCCATACCGGAGTTGGGCATCATGTGTGGTAAACTGGAGGCTCACAGAAAAGAGACAAACCCCCAATGAGAAAGATAGCACATTGGCAGCCACAATTGGCTCTGATGTAACTTTTGTGAAGATGAGAGAGGCCCAATGGTGTTTCATTATGTTGTCCATAGTGTTACTATAAGTTGGAACTGACTCTTTAGCACCTAACAACTAGCAGGAACATAAGAATCAGTCTCCTGCTGATCTTTCTAAGAGTTTATTCATGCAAATTTTTCATGTTGCTTTGTATATTTCATTTGTGAATTCTTGAATTGAAAATATAGACAAAGTGCTTGGAGTCTGTCCACTAATTTCCTTTTCACAATCCTCTTTTCTTTTAAAACTGTCTCAGATATATGGAGCCACAGAATCTAACAAGTGTCTCAGAATTCCTTCTGCTGGGCCTTTCTGAGGATCCACGACTGCAACCCTTCCTGTTCGGGATGTTCCTGTCCATGTACCTGATCACTGTGTCTGGGAACCTGTTCATCATCCTGGCTGTCAGCTCTGACCCTCACCTCCACAGCCCCATGTACTTCTTCCTCTCCAACCTGTCCTTGGCTGATTTTGGTTTCATCTCTACAACAGTCCCAAAGATGCTGGTCAACATCCAGACACAGAGCAAATCTATCTCCTATGTGGGCTGCCTGACACAAGTGTCCTTTTTTTCTCTCTTTGCATGTCTGGACAATGTTCTCCTTACTGTGATGGCTTATGACAGGTTTGTAGCCATTTGTCACCCCCTACATTACACAGTCATCATGAACCCCCGCCTCTGTGGCTTACTAGTTTTGATTTCTTTTTTCATCAGTCTTTTAAATTTCATATTGCATTGTTTGATGGTATCACAACTTACCTTCTGCACAAATGTAGAAATCACTAATTTCTTCTGTGACCCTCCTCAACTTTCTAACCTTGCCTGCTCTGACAATTCTACTAGTACCGTGTTTTTATATTGTATCGGTGCCATCTTTGGTGGCATTCCAGTCTCAGGGATTCTTTTCTCTTACACTCGAATTGTTTCCTCCATTCTGAGAATTTCATCTTCAGGTGGAAAATTTAAAGCCTTTTCTACTTGTGGTTCACACTTATTAGTTGTTTTTTTATTTTATGGGACAGGAGTTGGAGTGTACTTCAGTTCAACTGTCACATCATCTGCCAGGAAGGGTGCAGTGGCCACAGTAATGTACACTGTGGTCACCCCCATGCTGAACCCCTTTGTCTACAGTCTGAGGAACAGAGATATGAAGAGAGCCTTGTGGAGGCTTCTAGGCAAAGCAGCCTAATCTCAGCATATATGCTTTGGGTGTGTTGGTTGGAAAAGACCACAGATGCTGCAACCAGAAATCTTTGATTTCATAACTTTTGTAGTTCTTATAGGTTTCAATCTTGAGTTGTGAACATTGTTTTCTTTGTCACATTTTTTTTTTT